TTGTTATTGATCCATTTTTATAGATTTCATTCTTATATATCAATAAAGTGATTATTTCTTTATCCAACTGAAATACTGTACCAGAATCTGATCTTATTTTCCCACTAAGTTTTGTACATCAGGCTTCTTTTAGATTACTTTCTATCTGAATGCCACCACATTGCTTTTCTCCTCCTTATTAACTATCTCGTCTTTCAAAGGAATGCCGTTAAGAAAAATGTACATGTTTGGCTTTTCTCTAGGAATCTAGCTATTGTAAATCTCCTTACAAGCTTACTTAGATTGCTACATATGCTGTAAAGCATTCTTCTCTCATACTGAAGCACTACCTTTGGGTCAGTATTCAGGTCCATTTGTAAAACAACTCTGATAAAATTTTATACATTTTCTTAGTTTTGAAATTGTAAAATTATATTAAATTGCTTTACTCGTTTTATTTGTTCACTTAATATTTAGTATCAAAGTTCTATCTGCTCAAGACATTATTCCTGGGAAAACTAGATGAAGGAAGCAGCCCTCACTTCTGAAGGACTCCCATATTAGTATGTGTAAACAGTTATTTCGATTGGCATTCTGTTCTGTCCATTGTCGGACACATAGTTTATTATTGGTGCTGTGGACCAACCACTTTGAAGACACTGTCCCTGTATTCAAGGTTACAGTCTACATGTGCGCAGACTATCTTTTAAAAATAGTAATGTGTAAAGTTCGTAAAATTTTGCCAAGGTATTGCTAACTTATGTGGAGCACGTGAGAGGTGAAAGAGGAAGTCACAGGAACTCGAGGTGGAGATGCCCCTGGACTTCAGCCCTCCTCTCAACATTTGAATTTGCTTTCAACTTCATGGAGCCAGTGCTTCCTCAGTCTGTATTTCCAAATACTCTTCAGCATCTGTTCTTTCAATGGCACCACTCTTAACTTTCCAACCCGTCTAACCACATCATCTCAGCCTTTTTTTGTCCTAGAATCCTGGGAGTTAATTTAGATTTTCCCTCTCCGTTGGCTTATAATGTGTTACTAAATCCAGTTGAATCTACTTCTTAAACATCTTAGTGACTGTCTCCTCTTAATTGCCCATTCCATAGCTATTTTATCAAGTCAAACCATCCCTGCATCATGCCTTGACTAATATAATCTCTGGTATTGTTCTTTCTCTAATATTGTTCAAGACTTTTTTCACACTTAACTAGAGCAGTCTTTTTTGATGGAAAATCTACTTATATTTATCCCCTCTTGATCTTAGAAATAAAACCCAGAGGCCTCTAATCCTCTTCATGATTTGGATCTGCTCCATTCTCCTGCACCACCTACTACTTCACTATCTCACTTCACTGTTACAGTGTGGTTATTTATTACAATATCATGCTTTATACTTTTGGTTGTTCATATCTTTTTTTTTCTGCCTGGGATTTTTGTGTGTCCTGCTTTAAAATATACATAAAAGCATTCTTTAAAGCTCAGTTCAAGAATCATCTCTCCCAGGAAATTAATCATGATGGCCTCAGTTAATTAATCACTCCTCTGCTGTGTTAGCGTCTTACTTTAAGTATATATCAGCTCGTTGCATTGTAATTTTAAATTGTGTTTCTTTCACTAGAATGACAGCTCCTACAGAGTAGAGAGTGTGTTTACTTTTGTGAAAAAAAGTCTCTGCCTTTTATTAGTGCATGTGGCAGTGGCAAAATTAGAACTTGAGGATGGAAATCATTAGGAGAAGACAGAGAGGGGAGCGGGGAGGGAGGGGGAAAAAAGGAGGACCTGATGCCAGGGGCTTAGATGGAGAGCAAATGTTTTGAGAATGATGAGGGCAATGAATGTACAAATGTGCTTTACACAATTGATGCATGTATGGATTGTGATAGGAGTTGTAAGAGCCCCTATTAAAACGATTTAAAAAAGAGAGCGAAGACAGAGAAAAGCATTCTAGGCTAAGAAAATGGTGTGTGTACCAGCCCACAGGCAAAGGAGAACGGTGACCATTGAACTGCTTGGCAATGATTTGGAGGAAAGAGGAGAGGTAGGAGGTCAGACAAGATTGTTGATTGGTTCCAGATTAGTCATCATGTAGAGGAATTTTTTCTGTTTCCTCATGGACCTGACATGCTGCTGGAGAAGTGGTGTCATCAAAAAGCCTTTGAAAGATGACTGCCAGCAGTGTGCAAAGGAAGGCCTGGACAATGAAATTGCAAACAATCACCCAGGTAGCAGATGATAAGGGTCTGAAGGAATTAATGGTAATGTATTAATAAATAAAAGTAGACAGTAAGTTATTTGGAAGCAAGAGAGTGACGTTTGAATTAAATCATTAAGCATAAGGAAGAGTTCTCCAATTAATGGAGCAGGGGAAAAGCAAGCATTGTGTGAATAGAATGAAACCCTGGTGGAGCAGTGGGTAAGTGCTCAGGTGACAACAGGATGTTGGTGGTTTGGCCCCACCCAGTGGCTCTGAGGGACAAACACTTGCCAATCTACTCCTACGAAGATGTCAGCCTAAGATTCCTTACCTGGTGGTTGTACTCTGTCATACAATGCCATTCAGAGTTGAAATTGACACTGTGCCACAGAAAACAGCAGCAGTAACTTAAGTTAGGTGGGAGAAGACTGGTGGGGGGAGGGCACTAAGATCAACGAACTGTGTTCTGTGTCAGTGTAATTGATTTTGTCTATATTCTAAAATAATTGGTTATACCTAGAGGTTTTTTAATTTAGGAAATAATGCTGTCATGTTGTGGTTAAAGCTATTTCCAGAATTCAAAATCTACTTTAAAAGCAGGAAACTTGGACCTAATCAAATGTTTGTTAAATGAATTCAGAATACTTCAGTATTAAGGAGAATATATGCCAAAAGTGTGAGATTGTTAATATTCACCTCTTTGTTTAAATCCATATATCCCTATAACACTGAATGTGATGTTTTTGTAACATTTAATTAAATGTATATATTAATATATGTATTGATAACTATGAAAGTAAAGAAGAAAAACAAACATTTTTTTCCTGAAATTAAAAATTCAGGCATTATAGGGATATTATTTGGCATTGTATGTGAATATATTTGTAATAGTCTAGTTTACCACTAATGGTAATGTGAAAGAATTTTGTCTTATTGTTACAAAAATAGTTTTGTAAAACTGTAATAATAATAAAAATAGTTTTTGAATGATCCATATCATTGATAAGAATAGCCTTCCAGTCAAGGCTTTTTCTAAGAAAAGAATAAGCCCCTGTTTTTGTGTTGTTTTGTTTAAGTGTTATTCAGTCATTAATTTACCTTAGTTTAAGATTTTCTAGGTAATACAAATTATTTTCTATTTTTACTGTTCCTTTAACCTTAACATCATCTAGATTTAATAAGAAACCAAAGAGAGGAATACAGTATCTCCAAGAACAAGGGATGCTTGGCATTACCCCTGAAGATATTGCCCAGTTCTTACATCAAGAGGAAAGATTAGACTCCGTAAGACTACTGTTTTACTTGATTTTAATCTCTTTATAAAATTGCGATGCAAGTTAATGATGCGTATTGTCACCCCTTTAAGATACTCTCAGCATAAAAGGGTAAATCAAAAAGTATTGCTACTAGGGTTCTAGTTCATACATGCATGGATTTATTTTAAACAAAACATGTTTAATTATTTCTTTGTGATCAGTAAATAGATATGCATTGTCATTAATATACTTGTCTTAGCTTTCAAAATTGTGCTAAGCAAAAAAACATTTTGAAGGTCAGGACTAAGAGCAAATTTTGACAAAACTTAAATGACATCATCCCAAATTATTGGAGCGTTGCAACAAGTTTATGGAAATACTATCCCCACAGAAAACAGCAGTCGATAGTTGGATCAAATGTACTAAAGCAGGTCAGAAAGACCTCAAAGATGAGCCAAGAGCGGGGAGACTGTCGACCTTGATGAGCAAAGAACTGGCTGATAGTGCATTGTCAATCTTAAACTTCAATGTTTAAGATAGTTAGCCCTGCAGTCAAGGACTTGTGGTTGTTACAGATTTGTTTGCTCTGTTAATGGTTGTGTGATAAGTATAACATGCTTATGAGATAAACATTTCCATATGTTTTTTTTGTATTAGACTCAGGTGGGTGAGTTCCTGGGAGATAATGACAAGTTTAACAAAGAAGTCATGTATGCATATGTGGACCAACATGACTTCTCTGGAAAGGACTTTGTTTCAGCCCTTCGCATGTTTCTGGAGGGGTTCCGTCTCCCAGGGGAAGCTCAGAAAATTGATCGATTAATGGAAAAATTTGCTGCAAGATACCTAGAATGCAACCAAGGGTAAGATTCCAATTCAGATGTTCACTGTCAGTTATATCTAAGACATTGTGCTAGGGAGCATATGAGAATTCAGAGATAATAGGACATGAGCCCCTGCCCTCATAAGACTTTAGATTGTCTTCGATTTAGAAATAATAAAGTAAAAGTTTATGAGATAGAACATATCCTCTAAGAGAAAACGAAAAGTACAGGGGTAAGATGACTTTACTTAAATAAAACTGTAAACTATAAGCGTTTGTAATTTGATACATTTACTTTTGCAGACAAACCCTTTTTGCTAGTGCAGATACTGCTTATGTTTTGGCTTATTCAATTATCATGTTGACCACAGATCTTCACAGTCCACAGGTATGTTTTCTTCCAAGAAAGCTGAACAGTTTAAACTAAATTCTTTTCAACCCAATAAGAAAGTAGTAGTTGAAATTTTACAGAGTTTAAGGCATTCACTAAATTGAGGCATTTAATTTGGGGTGGTATATATTCTACAAGTGAAATTTCCTGTAGTAGTTCTAATGAGACTTTTAGGTTATGTGTAAAACAAACCTGTATTTGCCAGTTGCATGGTCAGGAATTATATAAATTATTAGATAAACTTTAAGAAGATGATGATAGATCTGCCTATAGTTACCATACATGGGAAAACACTATATAGACATCTTCTTTTTAATGTGTTATTATAAATTGGGTAAAGGTTTTCAGAGCTAATCAGTGTTCATTCAACAATCCATACACATTTTGTTTCATGTCATTGATTACAGGTCCTACAATATATTACCATTTATACCCACTTTGTTTTTGTGTTTCCTATTTTTCACTCCTCCTACTTTCCTAACCCTTGTAAACTTTGTCCTTGGGTAAATACTGGTTGTTTTTTTAATTTCAAATGATTGATTCTTCTAAGACCTGTGTACCTCCCTAGTGTTATTGTTCAACTTATAGATCTGTCTGTTGTTTGGTTTGATTTTTTTTAAAGGTTTTTAAGTTCAAAAATAGAGAAATTAGGGTAATAAGCCTGTTGCCCAGCTTCCACTGTAAAAAGGTTATGTCCAATCTTGTTTTGTCCGTATACATTTCCTCTCCTGCATTATTTAGAAGCAAATTTCAGTTACCATTTCATCTTAGAAATGATTTCTCATTTTAATTTGCTACCTCTAAAAAGGGTAAAGACTTTAAATATAACTATAGCATCAATCTGTTTATAAGAATTTTTTGGTGCAACCTAGGAGTAAGTATAAAACATTTTTTGGGGGGTGTGAAATTAAGTGTATTTCCTTTATTATGGCATGTATTAGAAAATTAAAATATATTTTGGCCTTTTATTACCTAGGTAACCTGTAACTTTGCTTACTGTTATGAATCGGGCAACCCCTGTGAAAGGGTCGTTCAACCCCCAAAGGGGTCTCGACCCACAGGTTGAGAACCTCTGGTTTAAGGGAAGGTTAATAGGGAAATATTTGTCAAACATATAATAAGGGATTTGGAACTGGAATTCCACTTTTACCTGCCACTTTTCAGTAACTGTGCATAGATCAAGGATTGATTTGATTTTCTTTTTTCCTTTTTAGATAGTTTTATTGGAACATAGTCCACGCATACAGTTCAGTAGTTCAGTCATATATGAAGAGTTGTACGGTTATTTCTTCGATCGGTTTTAGAACATTTCCTTTTCTCTTTTACTCTTGTTATTAGCTCCCCATCTCCCCTGCCACACCCCAGATTTATTAGATTTTATATAGACTTTAGAAAGTTTGGGGTTTTTTTTAAATTATAGATTTGCCTTTGGCATGTTGTTATCAGTATAGTTAAAGGAGCTGATCTTTGGGGTTTTCATTGTCCAGTGTGAATTTTTTTTTCATGCTTAGGGAAAGCAGTCTTAGATATCTTCATAACGAATTTTTAGTCTTTTATTATTCTGCCTCACCCAGGGGTTGGCAAACTGGCTTACAAGCCACATATGACTCTTTCCGTATGTGCTTGTGTCTCTAAACTAAATTAGAAAAAATTTAAAGGATAATGGTGATTTCATTTGTTTGTAAAAATATATTTATGGCTCTGAGAGACAGGATTTGCTATTCCATTTCAAAGTTTGCTGACCCCTGGTCAATCCTAAAGTATTTATTATTTGTTACTCACTAATCTTTTTTAGTTATGTAAATAACTGATACTATATTGCATCTGTGCTCTATCTTGTTCTACTATGTACATGTTTTGTTTTTTAATTTGTCAAACATTTCTCTCATGTATTTTTTGAGTAAGCACCCAGTGTTGTCTGTTAAAAGATTCAGATCACATACCAGTTATTACCCTGGGAACAGTATCTTGTCTTCATGAATTCTGTCCATAGAACATGTGCTGGTAGTTGTAGTCTCACAGTTCTAACTGGTTCTTGTCATACTCTTTGCTGTCAGACTACTGGCTAGAATCATGTGCTCGCACACAGCCTGCAGCTGTAGAACAACTTGTGAATTTCTGTGAAGCTAAGTAGCCTATTAGAAAATAGATACCATTCTCTTGACTTCAGATGATTTCATGTTAAGGACCATATGAAGTGTAGCAAGTTAAATAATACCTTTTTAAAAATAATACAGGCACTTTAAAGGAATTACTTAAAACTAAAATTGTCTTTAAATTAAAAAATAGATGAATTTTCACATGCAAGAACTTGTGATCTTTTTTTTTACCTCCACTATTTATTTTTAGGTTACCTTTTATATCTACCATAAGTCAATTAATCTAGAAAAGTTTTGAGGTCTATTTATAACATGCTTATTTTTGTGTACATTGTTCATTAGTAGTAATAATTGACTTTAAGTAATTTAAGAATTAAAAATATATAACATAATTTGAGGAAATAAGAATAAGTCAGAACTAGAAATAACATGAGCCAAAAAATAGGATTATGTTTTGTACTACGTCCAAAATCCCACTGCAGCAGGGTTTTGTTTGAGCAGTGCATCTTTTGAGTACTTGAGGGACTTTCTGGGACCCTCGCCTCTGTACCCTAACCTAGATTAGAACAAACTCTATTGCTATTGCAGCTTTTCTGATTGCATGATGGCAGGCTTTACATTTTCAGGTGACCTGAATCACCTTTTAGCCACGTAAGGGGACAGCACCTATGTGGTTTTATTACGCTTTTCCTGGGTCAAAAAAAGATTTTTTTTTTTAAGTGTTAGCACTTGGAATGAAACCCCTCTCTTTTTTCAGAGCTATGACTCCAGATGAGAATTTAAAGTTATGATAGTTTTTGTCTTTGCAATAATAATACATTATATTTTAAAACTTTTATGGTAATAGTTTTCCATTTTTTAGGAAATGTACCTTTAACCAGCCTTTCTGATACACCATAAAGTTCTCTTTGCAGAGTAATCTGAACTAAATAAATTTGTGTATCATGAAATAAATAAATTCATGCATTCAGAGGTTATATCCTCTGAACATCACGAATTCCCAACAGTTATTTTTTAAGCTAACAGTGTGTGTGATTGTTGTAATAGGTGTACCATCTTACAGACTCCAAATTTGTGTTCCTTAGCTTTATCAGAATATGTTGTAGGACATTCCTGTTCAGGGTTCTCTTACACAAAGCAAAACATCCGAGTATACTGGATATTGTCTAAATCACATAAGATCATTTGAGTTGCTTGGGAAAAATGATCTTGTTTTAAATAAATTTTAATAATTGTTATTTACTATTATATAAAATCCTACTTTTAAATCACTAACAATACTTATATGTTCTTCTGAACTATGATTTGAATCTTTTTCTTTTTTTTTTTTGATTTGAATCTTTTTCATAGACTCTGGTTGTAGCTCTTTGACCATAGCCAAATAAAAATAATTTCATTTTTTAGTTTCATTTCTAACTGCATGTCCATTCAGAGTGTATGCCAATGCAGGTCTTTTCTATATTGTCTTCCTATCCAGTGACTTCATTTTTTCATTTTATGTAAGTTTTGTTGGTATTTTCTACTTTTCAAAGTATTTCTAACATCTTGCTTACGGTGATTATTTGAATTCTTAAAATTCAAGTGAAAATGTTGTGTTAACTTTAGGAATTATAATGTTTTTTTGTATCTAGGTTAAAAATAAAATGACAAAGGAGCAGTACATTAAGATGAATAGAGGAATCAATGATAGCAAAGACCTTCCTGAAGAGTATCTGTCAGCCATCTACAATGAAATAGCCGGGAAAAAGATATCCATGAAAGAAACTAAAGAACTCACCATCCCGACAAAGTCGAGTAAGCAAAGTAAGTATCCTGGTCCATGGAGTCCTGATTGTTCAGGGGAGAATATATAAATTCTTAAGAGTATTTTCACTTGAATTAAAATTAAGTAATCGTATAAATATGATAGAGCCCTGTTTTGATGAGAAGTCCTTAATATACAGCCTGGTGATCTGATTATGTGGGTTTTTTTTCTCACCTGTTTAAGAAAAATAGCACAGAACAGTGATTAATGGAAAAATCTACCAGTGTTAGTGTGCCTGTAATATATACTTGCCATTTAGAATTCAGTCTTAACAAAAATTCAGAACTCAAAGAAATTGATTATGCTACTTATTAGCCCTGAGCTCTCATCAGTTTTTGTTTCTGCCACCTTGTCATCTACAAGCAGCATACCACCATCAGCTGGATGTAGGGAGTAGTGATTTAGAAAGTTAAGATCATTTGGAAGTTTGTGGAGCCTGAAATCACTACTACTTTTCTTTTTTTTTTTTTAAATCACTACTTCTGACAGACCTTAAATTGTCACTGTAACATCCCTAGATCTAACCAGGCCCCACCATATAGATGCTGTCTAGATATGTAGGTAGTGGTTATTAAACTAGAGCTAAAATATGATTGCAGTAGGAGGTGAGGGGAGCAACTCAAGAATGTAACTAATACAGGAAAGAGGTTTCTGCCTTTTTTGAGGACTACGACTTGGGAAACCTGTGTTGCCGGGGAAAAGCAAGAAGTTCTGTGTGATATGAGATACAAATATGAGTGAGGGAGTGGGAGAGTGTGTTGGGCAAAATAATGGAATATAAATGAGCTTCAAAAAGTTTATGGAAAAATGGAACTTTTGAGGCTCCCTCATCTAACTAGTCTTATTGCTTTAAAAAAAATGAGGGAGGATGTTCTAAGAAAGTTTAGTAAGTTCTATGTCATTTTATAGAAACAAGGACAGAGAGATAACGTAGAATTGTAGAATTTGTAAGGTAATCCATTTGTGAGGAGATACCATTCAGGCATGGTTTAAAGATACTGTTGCTTTCTATCTCTCAGTGCTACTCACCTACCGCTTATTTGGGTCATTTTCCCAGTACCTTAACTGACAACTATATATACTTTTTTTTTTTAATTTGGGGCTCTTACAGCTCTTATAACAATCCATACATCCATTGTGTCAAGGACATTTGTACATGTGTTGCAATCCTTTTCAAAGCATTTTCTTTCTACTTGAGCCTTTAGTATCAGGTCCTCATGTTTGTCCTCCCTTCCCCCATGAATGCTTCACCCGTTTCTATTGTTCATTACACTGGGTGAGGTGGGGAGGGGTGTTATACATCGATCATTGTAATCCGTTCCCCCTCACCCCCCCTCATGGTATCGCTATTCCCTTTACTGTTCCTGAGGGGTTTATTGATACTGGATTCTGTTGAGATCTTTATCTGTACCAGTGCACATGCTCTGGTCTAGTTGGATTTGTAAGGTAGAACCGGGGTCATGATAGTGGGGGGAGGAAACATAAAGAACTAGAGGAATGTTGTATGTTTCGTCAGTGCTGTACTGCACCCTGGCTGGCTGATCCCTTCCTTGTGACCCTTCTGTGAGGTGAAGGACAATATTTTATCTCTTTCTTTTTCCCAGCTTTTCTGCATATTCCCAGCTCCTACTCCAGGATTTTTTTTAATTGATGTGCAATTCAGGTCACATAAAAGTAACATTTCAAAGTGAATGATACAGTGACATTCAGTGCAATCACAGTGTTGTATAATCAGAACCCTGACCAGTGGTGTGAGTGGCAAAACAGGGAGGGTAAAGGGAGAACGGGTAGGAAGGAGGGAACCGATTACATGGAACTGTGTGTGACCTCCTCCCTGGGGGACAGACAACCGAAAAGTGGATGAAGGGAGACGTCGGACAGGGCAAGATATGACAAAATACCCATTTATAAACTATCAAGGGCTCATGCGGGAGGGGGGAGCGGGGAGGGAGGGGAAAAATGAGGACCTAATGTCGGGGGTTTAAATGGAGAGAAAATGTTTTGAGAAACGATGTACAAATGCGCTTTACACAATTGATGTGTGTATGGATTGGGATAATAGTTGTATGAGCCCCTAATAAAATGTTAAAAAAGAAAAAAAAAATCTGAACCCTGTGTCTAGTTTCAAAACATTTTCATCACCCCTAAAGGAACCCCCATACTTTTGTTTTAAAATCATTTTATTAGGGGCTCATACAACTCTTATCCTAATCCATGCATACATGAATTGTGTAAAGCACTTTTGTACATTCATTGCCCTCATCATTCTCAAAACATTTGCTCTCCACTAAAGCCCCTGGCACCAGCTCCTCATTTTCCCCTCTCCGTCTCTGCTCCCCCCTTCCTCATAAACCCTTGATAATTTATAAATTATTATTTTGTCATATCTTACACTGTCTGACAATTTCCCTTCACCCACTTTTCTGTTGTCCGTCTCCCAGGGAGGTCACATGTAGATCCCTGTAATCGGTTCCCCCTTTCCAACCTACCCTCCTTCTACCCTCCCTCTACCCTCCCAGTATCGCCACTCACACCACTGGTCCTGAAGGGATCATTCACCCTGGATTCCCTGCGTTTCCAGTTCCTATCTGTACCAGTGTACATCCTCTGGTCTAGCCAGGTTTGTAAGGTAGAATGGGGAACCACCCCCGTACTTGTATTGTCCAACACTCACCTCTTATTCCCCCGAGTCCTCAGCCCCTCAACCACCCATTTGCTTTTGTCTATATGGACTTCCCTGCTATGGATATTTTATAACTGTGGAATCATGCAATATGTTTTTTATGTTTGACTTTCCTAGGTTTATTTTTAGCTAATTTCCGTAGGCAAGCCATCAAAACTTCATTTTTTTAAGAAACATGTTTTAAATGGTAATAATGTTTGTTGCTTCAGATGTTGCCAGTGAAAAACAGAGAAGACTTCTGTATAACTTAGAAATGGAGCAGATGGCCAAGACAGCGAAAGCGCTCATGGAGGCTGTGAGCCACGTCCAAGCACCTTTTACAAGTGCCACACACTTGGAGCATGTGAGGCCCATGTTTAAGGTAAGCATAGCTAATGATTTTTGGTTACAGTATACATATATATGAGTTCATTCCAAGTATTTTAAAGAGACTATAGTGGTGTGGTAAACAAAAAAGCCCACTGCCGTGGTGGCATTTCTGATTCATGGTGAACCATAGGGTTTCCAAGGCTATAAGTCTTTTTGGAAGCAGACAGCCTCTTCTTTCTCCCAAGGAGTTGCTAGTGGGTTTGAACACCAACTTTGTGGTTAGCAATCTATTTTTTCCCTGACAGCACCACCAGGATTTCAAAGAATACTACAGTGCTGTAAAATGAACATAATATTTTTTATTAATTAACAAAGTTATGAGATTGTCGTGAATCAGCAGTAACTCAAAATCAGGGGTTTATTCCAGGGAAAATCCTTGCTAAATTGGAATTTTGATTTCTTGTGAAGTTAAACATTTTTCAACTGGCTTAAGAACCATTTGTATTTTTTCTTTATAAAATATAACACAGATTTCCAGATGTGTGTCTCTCCAAAAGAATGTAAGATTTGGTACTCTTATGTGTTACTTTGTAGATTGAAAGGAGTACCCCTCGTGTTTATCACATCATCTCTCCATAGTAGCAGTAGTGGTTCAGAGATTACATGATTCCGAGAGACTGAATAAATATCAAAGCTAGAACTCTAAGCTAGGTACTGTCATGTATAGTTCTTTTGTATAAAAAATATATAAATACTTCATTGTAAACTTTTAAAGTTAGAAGCAAAGTGCTTGATAATTTTCTTTTCTGCAGTAGTGCTATAAGCTTTATAGATCTTTTAAAATTCCAGTGGTCATTTCTATACCACACTGGTTTAACTTATTTTTCACTTTCATTACTCTAAGGATATGTTGTTGCTTTGCTCATGATCTTAACTAAAGCAGCAGTTGTTCTCTGTATCAGATGTGGTATTGTTACATGTGTGTGCATGCATATGAATATGTTTTGTTACTTAGGGTTTTTAGTAGTCAAAAGTCACTTTGCTTGTTACACATTACAACTTAACCAGTTATTAATACTTCTGATGATAAAATATGAGCGTTTGTTGGCATCTACAGTGTAAGGAAGAAGAATGTGAGGTCTATTTTTAGTAGATTGTCCTACAAGGAAACAGATTTTATTGGTGTCTCAATGTGAAAAGATTTATTTTAAAATATAAAAGACTTTCTTTCAGTAACAATTTTTTAGAAAGAACAATGTAATTCTTACAAGTAGGATGATGGTTAAAATGATAGTACTTGAAATAAATAACTAGTGAAATATTGCAAGGGGCAAAGCTTTCAGAGAGCAGATTCTGAAGTCAGGGTTAAAATTAACATAATTTTAAAATTAAATAATCATTTTATTTAGGGGCTCATACAACTCATCACCATCCGTACATACATCATTTGTGTCCAGAAAATTAACATAATTTAAGAATATATGCTGTTCCCATTTTTATTGGTGTGAATACTTTACAGATGTCATGCTTAACCTAGGCAACCTTGTGGCACTGTTGGATAAGTCTTGGACTCCTTCCAGCAAGTGTGGTGGTTCACACCCACCAGTCGCTTACCAGGAAAAAGTTGAGATAGCTATCCAGTCATGTAAAGATTTATATCCTCGGAAACTATACACAAGGTCGCTATAAATCAGAATCAACTTAGTGGCATTGGGTTTGTTTTTGGTGTGGTTTGGGTTGGGGTTTTTAATGCTTAAACTATGCCTTGGTTAATCACTGAATTTGAAATCTGGCTTTCCAAATTATTTAGGTCTAGGTAGCCATTATATAGTTTATTCCCTGTATCTAAAAAAAGCTTTCCAAAAAAACGATGCCAAGAACTTGGTTTCCTTTTTTTGCCCAGAATTTCTTCAGCTTTTCTATTACTGTATAGAACTTATGAAAAATAAACATTCAAAGGGGCATCAAAAGGTTCAATGAAAAATGAAATTACTGTATACATTTGAGTATAAGCCGACCCGAATATCAGCCAAGGCACCTAATTTTACCACAAAAACTACATTAAAAATGTGCTGAAAAACCCAGCTTGTACATGAGTATATATGGTAAGAGATAGCGGAATTTTTTTCTCATGAAATTTTGAAGCTTCCCCACCCTTATCTTGTTACCATCACTTTAATGATTGGTTGTTGCTCATAACATTTTAAATCTGGACTTTTTCTAGTTGGCTTGGACACCTTTTCTGGCTGCATTCAGTGTGGGGCTACAAGATTGTGATGATACTGAAGTAGCCTCTCTTTGCCTGGAAGGTATAAGATGTGCAATCAGAATTGCGTGCATTTTCAGCATTCAGGTAACAAAAGTTTTGTCTTTGTAGCTAGTCATAAAAATGTAAATTGTTTATGCTAGTGTTCTTTTTTATATTCCAATTTTTAAATATTTGACATTGAAAATTCATTTTGGATTTATGATGGAATTTAAGTGAATCTTAACTGGTAAACTATGATGGAAGGAGGAGTATTCTATGTTGACCTAATTAAAATTCATCTTAGCCTTGTAGTTCTGGAAGAAGCCTTAGTGGTATAGTAGCTTTGGAGTTGGGTTGCTAACCGTGGGGCAACAAGTTGAAAACAACAACCGCAACCAAGGAGAACGATGAAGTTTTCTGCTTCTGTAAAGATTTACAGCCTTAGAAACACAAAGTAGCAATTCTGCTCTGCTCTAAAGGACCACTGCTAAATGGGAATCAAGTCGATGGCAGGGAATTTGCTTCCTTTTGGCTTTGTAGTTTTGTTCTTTATAATATTAGCTACTGAAGACATCCATAAGACTTTTTAATTCCTATATAATAATGTTAATATCTTATGTTTTATGATCAAACCTACTGGTTCATATTATGATACATTTATATCACTTTGTAACCTTTCCTAAACCTAAGAGCAAGTTATCTTTGGTTATTTATTTAAAAGGGTTTTTGTTGTTGTTGTTTTAATATTCTTTTTATAGGAACCAAGTGTCCTCTAGGTACTTTTTGATGAAGGCTGTCCTTGGTAGTAATTTTTATGCCGTACTTAATATCTGTTTGGCCAAAATTTTTTATACAATTCGCTTCATATTTAAATAAATGTCGTGGCTTAAAAAACACCAGCCTAGTTATAGTGGGTAAAAATAGCAAATTTGCAAGTCAGATTTCTGCTGGACCACATAGTACTTGAAACTTAAATGCTCAATGAACTTTTTTAAATTATCTACACATTCAGTGTCCCTAAAGTCTCTTTTTAATTTGACTCCTATATTATCCTTAGATTTTAAGAATTTGTGACTTCAGCATTATTCACCCATCTTTTAAAAAAAAATCTGCAGTGATTTGGGTATTACATATAATTCATAAAATGTCAGTTAATAATTTGTAAAAATGTAAACAGAGCTTACCATTAGAAAATGAGAGGTTTCTCTGCTGTATTTATGACCATCAAAGTATACAATTCTCTTTTTTATATAGCTGGAAAGAGATGCGTATGTCCAGGCACTGGCAAGATTTACCTTACTCACAGTGAGTTCTGGTATTACTGAAATGAAGCAGAAGAATATTGACACAATAAAAACACTCATCACAGTGGCTCATACGGATGGAAATTATTTAGGAAATTCATGGCATGAGGTATAAGCACTTTTTAATTTTACCTTTGCAGCGTGGTATATACAATGAGCTAATACTAAATATTTGATCAGTGACGTATTTAAGTGTTTGGGAGGAGGTGAATTTACTTTTTTACGTTTATATTTAGAATAAGTGCGTTTACTTTTTATATTGACATAATTTGGCTGCTAAGTCCTTGCTGCACACTTTTCACTATTTATCATGACATTTAAAAAAATCGTTTTATTGAGGACTCTTACAGCTCTGACAACAACCCATGTATCAATTGTATCAATCACCTTTGCGCATATTTCATTTTTAAAAATCATTTTATTGGGGGTATCATGTTTTTAACACTTTATTTGCATTTATTTTTTTGTAATTAAGATTCTGAAGTGCATCAGTCAGTTGGAGCTGGCACAGCTTATAGGAACTGGAGTGAAGCCCCGGTACATTTCTGGAACAGTGCGCGGCAGAGAAGGATCTCTTACTGGAACAAAAGATCAGGCACCTGATGAATTTGTGGGCCTAGGACTAGGTGAGAATTTTTAAAATTGTTTTTATGAAGTATCAAAAACTGTCTTTAAGAAAAATAAAAACTATCTTGAACATGCTCATTACAGATAGCTTTGCTCTAACAATCCATTAGAATAAGACAAAATGCCCTTTGGCTAATAACTTCATCAGTAAAATGTAAGCTGAAGCTGACTTTATTGGAAACTAGATATTTCTTACCAAGCCTGGTTTATGTAAGATTAATGACTCTTAGTCTTTATCTTCCACCTGGAAGGTGGGAGTGAAGTGCGTTCTGAAATTATGTGATTTTAAGAGTGGGCATCTGACTTAAATTTGAATTAAGGATTTTAGTTAAGTAGACCTGGTATAAGTGTAGATGTAGACCTAATAACTTGGTGATCTAGCAGCAGGATTTAAACTGCCTGAGCCACCTGCATATGGGGGCTTTTATAACATGAAAGTCTAACTTGGAACATTAGAACTACAATTGCTCCAGGAGGTAGCAGAAAGTACAGATGAAAGATATTTACTGGCAAGTGATATGATTGTGCATTGATTGATTCAATAGCTTTGGAGAGATCTAGAGAGTGTGGGCAAGCCAAAATAAAGAATAGGTACAAATTACTGGGATTCAATTTTAGCTAGTAGAGAAACAAAAATTGATTTACTAAAAATACATCATCAATGGATTATTTAACATTCTGAAATACTTAGTCAAGTAAAATATGACACCTGCCTATAATGTTGAGGAAGCTTCAAAAAAATTTTGGCAAAATTCTATTATCTTCTCATTCCATTTTCCCATGAACATTTTGGAGCCTCCTTGTATATATCCTATACAGGTTTGTTCAAAACAAAGCATGTTTAAACATGTCTCTCTGATCAGTGAATGCCTTCAGATGAATTCCTTCAGTAATGCACTTGTCTTAGACTAATTAGGGTGTCTTCAAAAAATTCTTATGGTGATGGGTTAAAAAACATTCTGAAGCAGGAGTGATAACAAAATTTTATGGTAACTTAAACATCTTCTCAAATCATTATAACTTGCAACAAGAGTATTGGAATGCTCCCTCGCATAAAACAAATTGTAGATGGATCAAGTATTTTAAGGAAAATTGGAAACACCTCAAAGATGAACCAAAAGAGGGGAAGTCTTTTTAACTTCAACAAGTAAAGAAACTGAAGTCCAGACCCATGTGGAAGAAGAATGTAGACACACCATTGATGTGCTCTAGCTACTGAGGTTGAGATCTTGCTTAGGCATTTTCAATTTTCAGCCAGTTTTCAGTTTGAAGTGTGCCAAAAGCATGTAAAAATTAGCCACCTCACAGAGCTGGTCTTTCTATTGGTCTTTTAAACATGATGGAAGTGAAGGAAGATAATTTAATAGAGTGAATTTTAACTGGAGATGAGCTGTAGAACAAAGTTTATACATTGTGGCTTCTGTGGGATCTGCTGGGCTAGTTAAATTTAAGGCAATGGGGTCAGCCCAGAAGATTCTGGCAACTGTTTGGGATAATTCCAAGAGGGTAATCCTGATTGATGGTCTCAAAGGACACAGGAAAACTACAAGGGCTGATTAGGAAAACGTTTTAAGAAAAATGAACATTGCGCTGGTGAGAACGAGGTCAGGAAAGTTGTGCTCAAAAATTTTTTCAAGAGTGCACCTGCTCATTTGTTGAGGATAGAAAGGAAACTGAACCCTATCCATCCACCCGACAGCCCTAATCTCACCCCTTCAGACTTACCTTTGTACCCCAAACTCAGTATTGAAGACACACAATTTGAGTTTCTCCAGGATGCCCCTACTGCCATTTGTGGTAAGTCTAAGAGTGCAGAATTCTTCAGGAAGAAATTAAAGAACTGAAAACACTGGGAGAATATGTTGAGAAATAATAGCTTCACATTATGATACATTTGATTAAGAAAGATATCTGTGATTTTATAGCGGTACTTTTTTGGACATAACTGCGTGTGAGATGTCTGTCTTTTCTTTCAAATACAGTGAATTTATAAAAAGATAAATATATTTTAGATTTTTAAATCAAAGGCAGTCCAGACTTCCAAGCCTCTCTCTTCTGCATCTATTTCATGCTCCATTCTCAACTCAATCTTGGTTGTTCAGATCTCTCATCTTTCAAGTAAGTGTGTTATTCCCTTGAACAAAGCTGGTTTATTGAGTTGGCCTCTGTTGAGCAAAGCTCTCTCTTCAGAACCATTTTGTTGGTCATCAGACATCCCATGTCATAGATGTCTCCTTCTGATTATCTGTGCTCACCTCCGCAGACAACAGCTTTCTTGAGCTAGATCCTAAAGGCAGAGTTTAAGCTTTAGAAGGGTAAGTACAGATAAGCCAGTTTAATCCATGTGTGATTTTTATTGTTAGGTCCTAGTATCCATGGACCAAATATTTTGTGAGACCAAATTTCGGGGTTGAGGATATACTTACCTGCCTTTCTGTAGGATGTTTTAAAAAAAAAATTGTTTATATTTGGGAAAAGGAAATTCGCAATTAAAAATATGGTATAAATAAACATTAGGCTTTAATTATATGCATACTAGATTGGTTATATAAATGAATAATTACAGCATGCATTCTGCGTTCTCTCTGTATACTAGTTTGTATAAATAATTACGCTTTTGAGTAATTTGGTTACAAACTATGAATATATTACATTTTCTAATTATGTAAATCTTTAAAGACTTTACATGCTTATGAAATGGTTTCTTCTGAATCCTAGACATTTTATGTATTCTTAAATTCTATTAAGTATGCTTCTAGATTACAGGTTATTATATCTAAATATAAGATATCAAAGCTCAGTAAAAGGACATCTAGTTGATAAGTAAAAGAAGTTAAATGGTGATGGATGTTATTTTTCCTTTTGGATTTCTTTTCATTAAACTCCTATAACATGCTAGACATTTGCAGTTGGGTGACATTATTTCCCTACCACTCCAGTTCTCTGCCATTTATTTCAAGCCCTCTTCCTTTCTCTCATAAATTGTAGCAATAGACGCACTAATTGGTCCCTGATTGTAACATTCACTTGCTGTTTGAATATGTTCTCCAGACACTACCAGAATTTTTTTTCTGAAGATAAATTAGGTTTTGCCAATTTTCTAAAAGGTCTTCTGGGTTTCTGCTTTCTAAAGGAGTATGTTTAACATGACATTTAACGATCGTCACATCTTTCTAGTCTGCCCCTCTGCCTTCATCTCTGTTCTCTCTCTCCTTTCTGTTCCCCATCAAATCCTCTGCCATAGACACACAAAGTTTGTTAGGAGATGTTGTGCACTTGCTAGCTTTTACTGTGCTGTTCCTGAAATTCTTATTATATGCTTCCCTTTCTTATGATCATCTCTCTAAGCTCAGCTTGAATAAATATCTTATGTGATGCTTTCCCATGAGGCAAACTCCCACCCCCCCCTGCCTTTTCCTTACTATCATTAGTGCTGTTCAGCAAACTTCTGTTTTAAGTAATTAGTTCAGTTCAACCATAAATTAAGCACTATATTATACTGTAGTTGGTTGTCAGTATTTTTATCTCTTCTGATAAATTGACAGTTTGGTGAAAGATGATCCCATTTTTCAATTCCTGGAATAGAATTAGAGTCCAGCTGGTTTTAATAATGTTACCTGGCATATTTGCTGCCAGAAAGACATTTATTGAATATCTGGTTGATAAACACGCACTTGATGATCACCTGCTATGTGCTCAATTTTGAACAATATGTTATTAGGTCCATCAAGCTTGTTGTGACTCAGCAACCGTAAGTACAACAGAATGAAGCACTACCTGGCCCTGCACCATCTTAAGCATTGTTAGTGTGAACTCATTGGTACAGTCACTATGTCAGTCTTACCTCATTAAGGGTCTTCTTTGTCACTGACTCCTCTATGAAATATACCTTTCTCAGCTACTGCCCTCTTGATAACATGTCCAAATTACATGAGCTGAAGTCTTGCCCTTCTAACTTCGAAGGAAAATTCTTAGATTTGCTTCTTCTGTTTATGGCTTGAGTCATAACTTGCATCGCTTTTCATTTGGTTGAGAAGGCAACACAAACATCTAAATTAACTTATAAGACGTGGCTCTGTAGCTGAATGGACAGTGCATTGGACTCCTAAAGTAATGTATATGAAACTAAGAAAGAAATTCTAGTTTGAGTAGTGTTTAGTCAAAGGAAAGGAGGAGCCCTGTTGATGCAGTTGATAAAGTGCTGGACTGTGAACTGTGAGGTCAGTGCTTTGAATTCACTAGCAACACAGCAGGAGAAGATGTGGTAGTCACCTCTTCTGTAAAGGTTACAGCCTTGGAAACCCTAATGTACAACCCAGTCATTGTGAACCAGAATCAACTCCCACAGGTTTGGGGGTTTGGTTAGTTCAGAGATTGGTGATAACAATAAAGTGGAATCAATCCTTCATTGAGAAATCAAACTGGGTCTTCATAGATAATTTTCAGATAGTTGAAGGATGGCACGAATGTTGAGAAGTGCCTAAGGCTGAAGTTTGTACTGCATTTGATAAGTGGCATTAGCAAAATGAAAGTAATGATTTAGGAAAAATAATCTGGCAGGAGAATATGAGATAAAAAGGGGGAGGAATTAACAGCAAAGAAATTAGTTGGATACTATTTCAATAATCCTGACATGAAATTGCAAGAGTTTAAATTTAAGTAGCAGTAGAAATAAATGGATGATGTGAAAAATAGATTGGAAGTAAAATCCTTCTGGCTTAGTGACATTGAATATTGAGACTCGAAAGGGAAAAAGAATTTAAAGATGACCCCCAAGTTTAGAAAAACATGGAACCATTTTTTCTGAAAGATAGATACTTCCTTTGAATTTTCAGATATTAGAACAGACCAGTAGAAATTTCCAGTAAGCTGTTGTAAACAGCACTAGAGATTAAATGGCTGAAGTAATCTAGATACATGGGATTGGGGATCATCCTCAGAAGTTATAGTTGGAACTGGGCCAGTGCTGTCTGTGTTTCTTAAACATTAAGCCTAATGTCGTGAGTATTGTGATCTGAATTCTCAGCTTCCTAATTTGTGTGATCTTTGCAAACAGTTATGTCTTTGTAACTATGACTACATCCTTCTTCGTCTAGCCCAGTAAGCTTCTTTGGCCTAGGTAAGTGTCACTGATGCCAAAGGAATTGCTCGCTCAGAGTCTTTTTTCTCTGAGTATGAAAATAATTTCAGAGATGTGTTACAGAACTATGAGTGTATTCTCTCTTCCGCTGAATTATTTTGTAACTGGAATGATTTTCTTTTATGTGTGGTAGTTGGAGGAAACGTGGACTGGAAGCAAATAGCAAGTATTCAGGAATCCATTGGAGAAACCAGTTCTCAGAGTGTTGTTGTTGCTGTAGATAGGTAAGCTATTTATTTTATTCCCTTTCACATGGCTAAGATTTAAATTCTATAACATTTCAGCCTTAGTAAAAGGGAAAAAAAATTCCCAAAATAATTTTTATAAAGTAATCAAAGACTCTATATGGTCTACTGTGATTTAAATGGTAAAAGTATCTATAGTTTGCTTTTTAAATAATAACGTATAGGAAGTATAAAAATGCATCATATTTCTATATGCAGCATACCCATGTAAATAGTACAGTGCATATAACAGACATGAAACTAATATGCAAAGAGGTTTCATTAAAAAAACATATAAAACCATGTTTAAAATTGTAAGTTACTAATAAATACAGGGAGGTTCAAAAGGTTTGGGGGAAAGATGGATTTAGAAGATATGGAACGTCTCCATAAAATTTTTAAAGCTCCTCATGCTAGTGGGAATTGGGGAGATGGATACCTTGGTGAAAAGGAACCACAGATGTTTTATTTCTTTTTCAGAAAACATATTCCCCTTATGATCTCTTGTGAAAGTGGAATGGAATTTGTCTTTCTGGGTCCCTGCTATTTAACTGCATTATAAATAAAAGTAAAGGGTTTTTCTAACAATTCTCATTATAAGTTTCTTTGGAAAGAAAATTCTTTTGAATTTATGCATTGTATACAGTATAGATATTACTATGTTTTACTTTGTTTTCTAAATGAAAACACATATTATGGTTTCTTTAACTGGAACTTTTGGTGTGTTTCAGAAGGTGTAAAAATGCCCAGTATATAGAGCATCTAATGCTCTTCTGATGATGATTTATTTCCCAGATAAATGTCCACGCAACCAAAACTTAGCATTTTATAACAGATATTTAAATTATTTTTTTAATTACAATGGATAGAAACAATATGTTGTCATCTTTTCTTGATGGCCTAGAGATTCATGTTGCCATCATCATTTTACTTTTTATAAAACACTTTGTTCTGAGTACAGACAGAACAGTGGCTGCTGACCCTGGACATACTTCCTAAACAGCAGTTCTCAACCTGTGGGGCGCAACCTCTTTGGGGGTCAAACGACCCTTTCCGAGGGGTCGCCCGATTCATAACGGTAGCAAAATTACAGTTATGAAGTAGCAATGAAAATAATTTTATGGTTGGGGGTCACCACCACATGAGGAACTATACGACAAGGTGGCGGCATTAGGAAGGTTGAGAACCACTGTCCTAGAAATTTTTCCTTGAAAAAAATTTTTTTAAATAATCATTTTATTAATGGCTCCTACAACTCATCACAATCTGTACATACGGCATCTGTGTCCAGCACTTTAGTACATATGTTGACTTCATCATTCTTACGACACCCACTTTCCACTTGAGCCCCTGGTTTCAGCTCATTTTTCCCTCTCCCTCCCTGCTCCACCCGAACCCCCGATAATTTATAATTTATTATTATTTTATCATATCTTACCCCATCCCACGTCTCCCTCACCCACTTCTCCGCTGTCCGTCCCCCAGGGAAGAGCCCACATGTAGACCTTGTCCTCTGTTCCCCCTTTCTCCCTCTCCTTCCCTCCACCCTCCCGCCATCGCCACTCCCTCCACTGGTCCTGGGGGGTTCACCTGTCCTGAGTTCACTGTATTTCCAGTTCCTGTCTGTGCCAGTGCACCTCCTCCAGTCCAGCCGGATATGTAAGGTAGAATTGGGATCATGGTAGTGGGGTGGAGGAAGCATTTAAGAATCAGAGGAAAATTGCATATTTCATTGTTAACTACACTGCATTCCGATTTGCTCCTCACCTCCCCGCAACCCTTCTGCAAGGGGATGTCCAATTTCCCTGGGCCCTGGGTCCCCACTCTGCACTCCCCCTCATTCACAATGTTATGATTTTTTTTTTTTTTTTGTCTTTGATACCTGATAACCTGATCCATTCACCGCCGCCTTGTCATCTTACAGGCTGGTGTGCTTCTTCCATGTGGGCTTTGTTGTTTCTCAGTTAGATGGCCCCTTGTTTATCTTCCAGCATTTGGACCCCAGATTGTGTGTAATTTGACAGCTTGGCACCATCAGCTTTCTTCACCGCATTTGCTTATGTACCCGCTTTGTCTTCAGCATTCGTGTTGGGGTAGGCTGGTATGCTTCTTCCTTGTGGGTTTTGTTGTTTCTTAGCTAGATGGCCACCCTCCCCCAGGGGGAATTCACTTCAGAGGACAGCACTGAAGCTGCAGCTTGGGAAGAAGGGAAGGGGAACTGGTCTGGTCGGAGCGCATGTGAGCCAATGAGGTGGGAAGGGGAAGAAAAGGAAAGAGTGGAGCACATCCTGGCTCTCTGAGCCCTGGGGACATTGTGCGTTTTCAGAACAGTGATGCACGGAGATGACCACGGGCCGCACCGCAGGACAACATTCCTCATTGACCCATCTCACCACTGGGTTGAACGTCAGCCCCTGGGGGCATGCATCAGAGCAGCAGAGGGAGCAGAGCAGTGAGGTCCTCAGGGATAGAGGCAACGCCGGGGCATAGCACCCAATCAGACTTGACTGGAAAGCACACATGAAAAAAAACAAACAGACCCTGAACTATTCATACGGTTATATATGTATGCATATGTGTGTATAGCTGTTGTTGTAGACATTGTTTTACCTTCTGTTGTTGCCTTGTTGCACTCAGTCTGGTGATGGTACATAGCATGTCTACGGAAGGGATAGGCAGAAAAAACAAGCCAGAAGAGAGAACAACAGGGTGACAGATCAGGGGAGCATGGGGATAGGGGAGGGGGAAGGAAGGAAGAGGATTTTAACAAGCACAGGCACAAGGGAACAACAAGTGATCCAAAATCAATGTCAAGGAGGGTGCAGGAGGTCTTGCAGGTCTGGATCAAGGGCAATATAACCGAGAGGAATGCCTAAAACCCAAATGAAGGCAGAACATGATAGTGGGACAAGAGGAAAGTACAAAGAAACAGAGGAAAGAACTAGGAGGCAAAGGGTACTCATAAATACAGGCATATAAAGATGTAAATATGTTTATATAAGATGAGGGGGAAATAGATCAATGTACACATATTTATAGGTCGAGTATTAAGAAAACAGATGGACAGTGGGCCCCTACACAAGTGCTCCCCCAGCACAAGAACACTTTGTTCTAACAATTAGGCAGTCTGAGATGCTCACCTACCTGACATTATCGCTGAAGACAATGGGTGCACAGGAAAATGTGGTGAAGAAAGCGGATGATGCTTGCCTACCAAATGATATAACACCTGAAGTCACTGAAGACAATGGGTGCACAAGAGGGTGTAGTGAGGAAAGCTGATGGTGCTCAGCTACCAAAAGATATAGCACCTGAAGCCTTAAAGACCTGAAGATAAACAAGTACCATCTAGCTGAGCGACAACAAAACCCCCACGGAAGAAGCACACCAGCCTACCCCTACTCGATCGCTGAGGACATAGGGGGTGCATTAGCAAAAGTGGGGAAGAAAGCAGATGGTGCCCGACTATCAAATGATACAGCATCTGGGGTCTTACAGGCTTGAAGACAAACAGATGGCCATCTAGCTAAGAAACAACAAAATCCTTGAAAATTTTTATGACCACTTGGCCACCCTTGTGGTGGGGAGGATGGCTTGGGAAAGAGGAACCCTTGTGGGGTGGTGGCTATGTATTGGGCTGCTAACCACAAGACCAGCTGTGTGAAATCACTAGCGTCTCCTTGGGAGAAGGCTGAGGCTTTCTACACTGGTCAAGAGTTAGAATCTCGGCGCCCCACAGGGCAGTTCTACCCTGACCTACAGAGAAGGGCCCTGTAAGTTGGAGTCAACACAGTGGCAGCAAGTTTATGGGGTGGAGGAGATACTTACTGTTTTATTGTACCTATTGAAGAAAGATTGTGTATCACCTGACACCAGGGAATATGAGGCTTCACCTACCCCCGCAGCCATAACTTCAAGATTTTAAATGATAATTTAAAATCTTGTAGTTATCTCCCTTTTTATATTAGGAATTCTTCACCATTAGGATCTAGGAGATTATTGGCATAGTAGTTAAATGCATTGGGCTGCTAACTACAGGTCAACAGTTCAGAATCACCAACTGTACTGCAGGAAAAAGATGGACTTTTCTGCTCCTGTGAAGAGTTAAAAGTCTCAGAAACTCGCAGGGACAGTACTTCCTTGCCCCTAGGGCAGTGGTTCTCAACCTGTGGGTCGCAACCCCTTTGGAAGTTGAACGACCTTTTCAGAGGGGTCACCCGGTTCATAACAGTAGCAAAATTACAGTTATGAAGTAGCAACAAAAGTAATTTTTTTAATCATTTTATTTGGGGATGGTGCAATTTATCACAATCCATACATCCATCCATTGTGTCAAGCACACTTGTATATTTGTTGCTATCATCATTCTCAAAACATTTTCTTTCTGCTTGAGCCCTTGGTATCAGCTCCTCATTTTCCCCCCCTGGGGGGTCACTACAACATAAGGAACTGTATTAAAGGGTTATGGAATTAGGAAGGTTGAGATCCACCGTCCTAGGGTCACACTGTGAGTCAGCATTGACTTGATAGCAAGAGTTTGGTTTGGGTATTAATCTGTATTACCTAATCCTCCAGTGTTTGCTAGGGTAGAATTTGCTCGTCATCACTGAACCTAATTTCAAAAGTATTACTAAATTGTGTAGCGATAAATTATATCCAGGTATGATTATCTTTAAACTCAAACTGTTACTTAGCATTATAGTTTTATTTCAGTGTTCTAAATACAGTTCTTGATAGCTGTCATTGAATTGATCTCAATCTATGCTGGTGATCATGCACAATTTCATTTTGTTGCTGGATCTTTTTGGAAGCAGATTACTAGACCTTTCTTCTATTTAGACCACTAGTTCTACCTTTATACTGACCCATCTTACACCTTGGAATATTCTGAACCTATCAGAAAATATATGCAGTTCTTTCTACTGCACTTGTTCTCAGCTATCTTTCAGTTAGCGTCAGTCTAAAAAGTATAGCAGTTATAGTACTTTAGGCTGTTTGTGTATTGCATATGGTTTTATAGTATTCGATACAGAATCTGCAAGGGTTTATCAGGTGTTTGTTTGTTTAATTTTGTTTTGTTTGGGTGTGGGCATTAGTATCACAATAGAGAAAGCACCAAACTTATCTCCATCCTGGTGTTTTTTCAGGCACGGATCTTAATATTGTTGCTGGGGGTCATGGAGTTGGCTGTGACCTATAGCAACCCTTTGCACAACAGAAGATAGTTCCTATGCCTGAGCCAATAGATGAAACCACTGTGTCAATCCATCTCTCATTGAGGGCCTTCCTCTTTTTCACTGCCCTTCCACTTTACCAAACATACTGCCCTTCTCCACGGACTGGTCTCTACTGACAATATGTCCAAAGTATGTAAGACTAATAAGCCTTGCCATCCTTGCTTCTAAGGAGCATTCTGGCCTTTATTTCTTCCAATACAGATTGGTTTGGCCTATTAGCACCCTAGGGTACTTTCAATAGCCTTCTTCAGCACAATTCAAATGCAACAATTCTTCAGTCTTCTTTATGCAGTGTCCAACTTTTATATGCATGCAACGAAGGATACTATGGTTTGGGACAGATGCATCTTTGGATCTCTTGAGTGCTGCTTCCGTGAGCACTGATTGTGGATCCAGGAAAGACAAAATTCTTGCCAATTTCAACCTTTTCTCCATTTCTCGTGATGTTCATAAACATTGATCCATTTGTGAGGATTTTGTTCTTTCTACACTTATTCTTAGCCAAAAGACTGAGAAGCGATTTTTTAACTTCCTTACAATGAATTGTAGTCCACACTGAAGGCTACAGTCCTTGATCTTTATCAACAAGTGCTTCCATTCCGCCTCACTTTGAGCAAGCAAGGCTGGGTCGTCTACACATGTCAGGTTGTTCATAAGCTTTCCTCCATTCCCGATGCCATATTCTTCTTCATAAAAGCCAGTCTTCTCTGATGATTTGCTCAGGAATTTTAATACTTACACAATTATCATGCTTTAGTTCTTTGCTTTTCATACAACAAATGCAGAATCCATTTCTTTAATTTTGTAAAGCATCTAGCTCTTTGAGTATATTAAGGCTTAATTTCAAATGCCTCCATAGACCACGATGCTCAACCATTTGGCTTACCTCTAGTGGACATTACTAAAAGTAGAGTGACTCCAAAGAGACTGCCAAAGTGAGTACAAATTTGGATGGCCTTTCCCAGGATGCATGCTCCCTTTATGCTCCACCATCATGCCACGTATACAGAGCCAGTATCTGATTGCTCTTGGTAGTTCTCTGTTACTTTTTGTCTTGTGAGCACCATGTTTTCTCCACTTTCATCTTCCTTCCCCGCGGTGGCATATCAACTATACTTCTGTCCTGTAGCCTCTACTTTCTCTTAATTTAAGACAATGATGACAGCAAAACCCTTTTTCATCCTTTGGTCCTTTCTTGTTGTTTCTCCTGTATAAAGTACTTTTGTCTCCTGTGGTATGGTTTGCTTATTGTAGTCATTGACCTCCATGAAATACTTCCTAGTTCTACAAATCAGCTAATTGCTTTTTAAATGTATTTTCTAACAGTTTTCTTTTTCATTCAAGAGGAGTTTATTTTTTTCAGGTTTTTTATGTTTTGAACTTCTCGGTTCCATCTGTCGGTGGATAAATAGGAAAATGTAACTTTTTGGTTTTCTCCCCCCAGATTGTGGTTTCAGCCAGATTTACTAATTGTACAGACAGGAGTGGTATAGGAGATCTGAAGACATTTCTTTAGTGGGGACTAGGATTTGGGGCTATCGTGTGACTTTTTTAACTTTTTCCTTTTTTGATTACTCATTCACAGGACGTATGGAAAGATGTTCAAGGACACTGAGGTTAAAAACCATGTTATTCAGAAACATTTAGATAGTAATACTAGGGATGGGGTAGTGGCATAGTGATTAAGCACTCAGCTGCTCAGCAAAAAGTTGGCAGTTTGAACCCACCAGCCACTCCACAGTAGAAAAAACCAGATGATTTGCTCCCATCATGATTTGAGCCTAGGAAACCTGATTGGGGCAGTTCTGCTCTGCCACATATATTTAAACACATACAAACACTACCATAAAGTCGATTCTGACTCACAATGACCCTATGTAGGAATTCTGAGACTTAAATTTTTTTTATGGGTACAGGCAGCTTAATTTCTCCTGACTCTTATCATAGAGGAGCCTTCAAAAAGTTAATAGGAAAAGGGAATTAAAGGCAGTGGACATTTCCCAAAAACTTTGTGAAGCTTCATCAGAATCAACTCAGTAGCAGACAGCAGCAGCTGTAGGAACTTTTAAAAACTAGAATAAATTAAAATGTTTTAATCCACATTTTGTTCAGGAAAGTATGAGGTAGGTATTGTGACATAATTTCTAAGAAGGTGGACTGTGGATCCAACTCTCCTGGTGTGAATCTTGAGACTTGTGCTTCATTGGTCCTATAACGTTGAACTTATTAAATATTTCTGTGCTTCAGTTGCTTTCAAATTAGCATTACAATCCACATATCTCACAGCGCATTTATGAATATTAAAATGAATGAATATATGTAAAGTACTTAGGATAGTACATACCTTGTAATTGGTAGCTATTAGTTATTACTGCTATTTCAAAGTTTAAGTATTTAAATTGTGCCTACAACTTTTTCTCATATAAATCCTGTTGTGGACATTTTAAGTTAAGGTAGATCACTCTACCCCAAGAGTTACATTAGACCCTTGGTTCCAACACCAGATGTATAAAAATGTTGCTTTCTTTAAAAAGTGGACTAATAAGGTTATGCTGAAGTCTTTGCTGAAATTTTTGAAACATACAAAAAAATAAACAAAGTGTAGAAGGCTTAGCACGCCAAACATTTGAATGGCCTAAGAAAAGTGTGTAGCTTCTGGTCACATGGTATGAAAACATTTGCCAAGGTTATATGAAAATCACTTGTTGTAAGCTGCCATCAATGAATTTTTTCATTGAATGTGAATTTTATTTGTAGAAATGAACTTGTCTAACAATGCTAGTTGCCAGGGAAAGTCACAAAACTTTTTCTTTTGCATTGGGCCAGTTTGTTAGTTGTATCATGTTTTTCTTGAGATATTCACCATGGGTGTTTGTAAATCTATGAGTACAATTGCTGTAATATATTTCATTCTAATAGTAATATTGAATCTTACTTTAATAATATTATTAAACACAAAGTGATATGCGTGGAGTTGATATTGGGAGAACCATTTAAACTTCAGTTTTTCTAAGCCAGTGGCTCTCAACCTTCCTAAGGCCGTGACCTTTTAATATAGTTTCTCTTGACCCTCAACCATAAAATTATTTTAGTTGCGACTTCATAACTGTAATTTTGCTACTGTTATGAATCAGGTGACCCCTGTGAAAAGGTCATTCATCCCCCAAAAGTTGGGAATAGCTGTTTAAGCTATTGGGTAAAAAAGTTCATTTGATTACCTAGGTTTTTTGTTTTATTTTTTCATTATCCGGTTACTGTGTTTTTTTCCTTTAAAATTGATTTTTAAAATAACTAGTAACCCAGCCCAGTTACATGTGAACTTAAATAAGACTTTATTTCTTCCTAGGATATTTACAGGGTCAACAAGGCTAGATGGAAATGCTATTGGTAAGTGCATATGTTGTTTACAAACTGACTTTTATGCTTAAAATTTGTTTTCTTTAATTAAAGTAATGGTGACTTTTACAGTTGTTGGTTTTTTTTTAAATCTACACCAGAGCAATTTATTTTAACAAAGTGGTTTTGAATGCAACAGTTTTGGAATCTATAGATTCTTTTTTTTTTTTTTTTTTTTGAGATTCTTAATGTAATTTTCTCTATATTATAGTGGATTTTGTTCGTTGGCTCTGTGCTGTGTCCATGGATGAATTACTTTCCACTACACATCCAAGAATGTTTAGTCTACAAAAAATAGTAGAAATATCATACTACAACATGGGAAGAATAAGATTGCAGTGGTCTCGAATTTGGGAGGTTATTGGAGATCACTTTAATAAGGTATTTGAATAATTACAGTATTTATATTAGTAATTGTTTCCTTTGTTTAAAATATAAATATCATCTAATTAAGAGGGTTTTTCCCCCTTTAGAGCAATTGTATATGGCTTTGTCATTAAATTTAGAAAACCCCTTGAATACTTTTTAATAAATGATTGCTCTAAATTGTAAGACCTTATTAAATTACCTATTCTTTTTGAGAACTATGATTAAAATACACTACTACTTTTGTAGCTGATTTTAGAATTTTTCCATTGTGGTTTCTAATTTATACTTACTCTAAAACAAAAATTAAAAATTTTGAATTTTCATTGCTGATTCTAGTGTCTTCTGTTTCTCTTGTAATTTATAGGTTGGCTGTAATCCTAATGAAGATGTAGCGATTTTTGCAGTAGACTCCTTGAGGCAATTGTCAATGAAGTTTCTAGAGAAGGGGGAGCTTGCTAATTTCAGATTCCAGAAGGATTTCTTAAGGCCTTTTGAACATATAATGAAACGAAATAGGTATTACATTGTTAAATTGCCTAAAATCAGAAAGTGCCATATTATTTTCTCTAATAGGGTAAAGAAACAAACCGAAGAACTTTTATCTAATGCCTATTCAAACATTTATATTAACATTTTAGATCTCCCACAATTCGAGATATGGTTGTACGATGTATAGCACAGATGGTTAATTCTCAAGCTGCTAACATTCGTTCTGGATGGAAGAACATTTTCTCTGTGTTTCATCTCGCTGCATCTGATCAAGATGAAAGTATAGTGGAACTTGCATTCCAAACAACAGGACACATTGTCAGTGAGTATTGTTTTAGCCATGTTTAAGTTTTGAAGCACACTTTCACAAAGTTGAAGGTTTTCAGAAAGATGAACTCATAAGATGTTATATTATGGGCCTATTAAAAAGTCTTGGTAATACTGTTGGGTGAGCACTGGGCTGCTAACCTCAAGATTGGTGTTTCAAATCCACCAGCTGCTCTTTGTGAGACACATGAAGTTATCTGCTCCCATACAGACCTATAGCCTTTGAATTGTTATTTAGGGTCACTCTGAGTTGGAACTGACTCAGTGGCAGTGGGGTTTTGGTTTATTATAGTCTTTAAGTTCACTGAGTTTTTCCCTGGGAAATCACAGTGAATAATAATTTTATTAACATTAATATGTATTATATGCCAAGAGCTTTTAACTTTCATAACTGTATAAGATGAACCCCCTTTTGACATATAAGGAAACATTAGCACTGGGAAGTAATTACAAGGTCACAGAACTAGCAGATGATGGATTTAGGATTTAAATGCAGGGAACTTAAGAACAAAAAACCTTTGTTTTTCACTATATTTTATAGCCTCCTTTGACATTAAATGGGCATGAAATACTAAGGATACAAAGTATGCTTGTGTAGAAGATGGTCATCATCTTTACAATCAAGAAGAACAGCATTGTCAGAACTATGATTTGCTAAGTGCTTGCTTGAGGGCAAGCATTGTCTGAGCATTCAGCCTATATTGTCCTGTGTGGTACTTAGAACTCTCACCCTTTTATATATGAAAAATGCGAGACCCAGTGCGATTTAATGAATGCATTCATTCAAAAAGTGTCTAATCCGTGTGTAGCATATGCCAGGCAGTGTATTAAGTGCTAGACTTGTAGTGTAAACAACAGACGTGTTTCCCTGCCCTCACTACTCCAGGTGGTAGAGACGTCTTGAACTCCACATCTGTGGGATGTCAAAGCTCTTCATAACCTGTAAGAATTATAATGTCCACCTAGGGGTTCATGTTTCCATAAGATTAAAATTAATTTTAATATCGCAATTATTCTGATATATTTTTCTCTCTTTCAGCTCTTGTGTTTGAAAAACACTTTCCAGCAACCATCGATTCGTTTCAGGATGCAGTGAAGTGTTTGTCTGAATTTGCATGTAATGCCGCCTTCCCAGACACAAGTATGGAAGCAATTCGACTTATTCGCCATTGTGCAAAATATGTGTCTGATAGACCTCAGGTATAATGCAATTTAGTAAACAAAATATTTGCTGGTTACTTGTTTGTCTGAAATCTAGTTTATCTAGAAATTGAGAACATGCAGCATTTTTCAGTGAGACTTAAAAGAATCTGAGCTTGATTCTGAGTTAAAATAGCTAATTATAAGAGCTCCCATTTATGGAAGTATTTTTCTGAATGTTTCAAATATATTAATGTGTTTAATTTTCTTAATAGTTTTCTGAAATTGGTAATGGTATTAGCCCCGTGCACTTCTCAGATGAAGAAACTGAAGCACAAAGTAGTTAAAAGTTTGCCTATAGTTGCAGGCCAGGAGCCCTGGTGATAGAGTCGGTTTGGGGTTGGGATGCTAACTGCAAGGTCAACAGTTCAAAACCACCAGCTACTCTGCTGGAGAAAGATGAGGCTTTCTATTCTGTAAAGCTTTACAGTTTAAGGAATTCATATAGGCCGGTCTACCCTGCCTTAGAGAATCTCTGAGTTCAGATCCACTCGATGGCAGTGAGTTGAGAATTTTGTTTGTTTTCATGTTTTTGTGGGTCTTTTCTGGGAGGTGGGGAGTCAGGGGTGGGACAAATTACAGGGCTGGCGGGCAGACAAGCGGGGGCTAGAGTACTGCTTCATGTGTGCTAGCACCCTGCAGCACCAAAGCTAACTGGGGCAGGATAAGTTTCAGTTCAGTAGGTGATGGTTGAATTAGCAATATATATCTGAGTCTAAATTTGTAACTGTTGTGAGGAGAAATGATACATCATAATTTAGTAATACGATTTTTTACTATATACTAATATGAACCAATGGGTTATATCGTACTTTTTGCAAAAATCAACTCATTTGATCTTTATACTTCCCAGTGAAGTTAATGTAGCTTCCTGGTGTCATCGTCATTTGGAATGATAATGCGAGTCTCATGTAATGAGACTAGTAATGCAGAAAGGACTATGTATGGATGGTGCAAACGGTTTACACTTGACTACTAACCCAAATATGGTGCTTCAAAATCACCCAGCTGCCACATGGGAGACAGGCGTGGTGACTTGCTTTCACAGAGATTATAGTCCCCAGAATCCTAGGAAATAGTTTTACCTGGTAGCACATGAGGTCACTGTGAATCAGAATAGACAGCATTGGGTTTGCTCACTTTAAATAATGCAGAGTGGTGTCAGAATTGAAGCTAGTAACCAACTTTTGGGTAGTAGCGTAGTCTCCTTAGGCAATTTCTTTTTAGAAATTATAAAATTACTCACTTTTAATTTGTAAAGCATTTCATTTTGGGGGTTGTGTGGTTTTTTTGTTGGTTTACTTTTTGAGAAATGATATGCTTAACGATATGTTTCGTCTTTAATAATCCTACCTTTCTTCTTGAAGACTTTCAAGGAATACACAAGCGATGATATGAATGTGGCGCCTGAAGACAGGGTGTGGGTGAGAGGATGGTTCCCAATTCTCTTTGAATTATCCTGTATCATCAATAGATGCAAATTAGATGTAAGAACCAGGTAACAGTCAGTATTTGTAATTAAATTTTGAAGGATTTCTTTTGACTTTAATCAAATTAACTTCTCTTATGTGAACATGTTATGCAGTTGACATTGGTAATGTATGTTATCACCTGTATGTTAGCACTTTAATAGACATATTTGAAGGTGTTAAATAGAACAACAATAAAAAATAGAAATATGTTACTTTTTCTTAAAATTTCATTTTGACCAATTTTGAGTTTTAGCTCATAAGTTCATTTGTTATTTTACACATTGCTTTTTTCATGTTTGTTTCCAGTTTGAAATTAAAGTTAGTTGCAAAATTAATTTTATTTCCAAATAAATTATAGAATGGTTTTTAAGTTTCTCTTTGAATTTGAAACAGTAAAATAATTGTGACTAGTCCAGCTTTGCTAAAAAGAATTGAACTCTTTCAAAAATATTTTTGTTAATATATGAGGAGGCTTCGAAGGTTCATGGAAAAATTCTTATTTTAAAATTATTTTTGTCAACAAACTTTCAGAAGCCCCTATGTAGTCTCTTTGTTAAAACTATTATGGTAAAAAACTATTTACAGCTTATGAAACAAACATTAAAACATTTTTCACATCACAGTTCCTTCCCCATAGTATAGTTTTTCTCATCCTCCACTGTTGGCTGCCAAAATTGAAATGGCTGATACCTGTCAGCAAGCATTTGAGCCCATTGTGAATTCGATTTTACATTAGTTATGTTTGTTGACAGAAGGAAGGGTTCCAAAGCAGTATTAAAATCCCTTTAGGAATCTTGCCTTTCAAAAGAAGCATCAGTCGTTTGGAGATTTAGCTTTACCGGATTTCTTTTTTTAATCATAAAAGTAATACATACTTGAACAAGTCAGATGATAAATGTTTAAAGAATTTATCTCTCTTCTTGATGAGACAGTCCCCTCTCCTCACTACCTCCAAGCAAGGTTAAGTTTGTCTTATATCCTAAGAAACTTCTCACATTTATAGCACTCTGTGGTGTAACAACTCTTGCAAAACAGGTAATCCAAAATAAGTCTCAAATCTAGAGAATTTATCATAGAATTTAAAATATTAGAGTATTCATTTTGCATTTTAGGCCTGGTGGAACGTTCAATAAACCTTTCAGAAACGTACTGTTAATTCAACTTTCAATAGCCTCTAATTTATGTAAATCTAAATTACTTTTGATTTTCCGCTTTCAAATGTCTGCTGCTTCAGTGGAGTGACTGGCATACCATGACTAACATAACTTGGGTTTATAAGCCCAGCATATAAACCCTGCACCTTGCTCTGGTTTATCGATGGAAATCTATCTGAGGGGACCTGTACTTGCATTCTTAGCCTGTCCTTGTATGGAACCAAATGCTTTCTTTCACCGCAAACCATGTTCAGACAATGAGTTTGTTCTTACTGGTAAAAGGGAAGAAAAATTGCAGTAAGTTTTGATGAGAGCTTTTGATCCCCCTGCTGTGCCTCAGGATTTATGAGCTGTTATTTTTTAAGTTACATTTAAAGTTACATCACAGTCATTCACATCGCACCTTAAAATACAAAGAATTTTCATATACATTTTCATTTGGTTTCCCAAAACCCTATGGTTGTGGAAACTGCAGTTAGGGTTATACTAGGGCCCCAAACCATTTTTGTTTTAACCTGTACCAGCTACTGAAGTATTGCTTCAGGGGTCAGGGGTGGTGGTGGTGGACATTTTTCTAGCAGTGCACATCCTTGAAGATTTCTATGGATCTCTATATTTCCTTTAGGACCTGGAAAGCAAGATTCTCCCCATCTCCTTTCCCCAGCCTTGGGAGGTAGCGGTAGCATTCAGTTGCACGGAAGGTCCGGGAATGGACTTGGAGATTGTTGTGAGAGAAAGACTGTTTCTGGTAGTGAGTGGTAGCTATGACGAGTTCTCCTGAGGCAGCAGTATGACTGCGCGTAGAGAAGTTTTTGTACTGCTGCTGCTTGTGTTGGCAAGGAAGCTGTGGTTCGACAGACTAGACTGGTGTGCACTTTCCATTCGACCCAACTGCCTGAATGTTACTTCATGCAAACTTTTCTCAAATCGTTCATATGGACCAGGCATGTACTGAGTCTGAGTGTAGTGTCAAATGCACTAGACCAGGTTTCGGTATTTATGGAATCTGTCCAAGAATAATGTGGTTTGACTTCCCTGTCAGACCTTGGGGAATATTTATAAATTGAAGAATTTCTGTAGTTTACTTGAAGAAAATAACATACAGCAAAGTGACAAAGGAATAATGACTCAGGAAAGCAATTTCAAGTTTGAAGTTTAACACTTTTCAAAACCCAGTGAGTGACCATGTTCCGACAGCAGTTGGTTCATTCAGCAAATCCTCACTGTGTCCCTCTTGATGAGGGACTCGGCCTGGTGTCTTGTGACTCCTGCGCTCAGGTAGCTCGTATGCTACTTGTGTGGCAGTAGCCTGTGAACAAGGTTCATAGTGTTAGTTAAAAATCCCTCTCATTTTTGTTTGGAAAACATTTTATTGCTTGGGTGAAAGTATACAGAGCACATTCATTTTCCACTCAACAGTTCATACACTTTATCTCAACATCAGCTACAGTATTCGTGTCTTCTTCCTACTTCCTCTTCAGATTTCATTTCCATTCGTCCCTTTTTCCTGCCTTCTGAACTTGGCTTTTGCGCAAAAGCTGCATTTTTGTCTCGTATGGTTGAAAGTACCAAAGAGTATGTTCCTCAAGGGCATTAATACTCACTTTTTGGCATGTCTGTAGGAAGTCCTGGTGGTGTAGTACTTATGTGTTGGGCTGCTAACTGCAAGGTCAGCAGTTCAAAACCACTCGCTATTCCTCAAGAGAAAGCTGAAGCTTTCTACCTGTAAAGAGTTACAGTCTTGGAAACTCACAGGAACATTCCTAAAGGATCACATTGACTTTTGGGAAGTGGCTCAGTGGCTGAGTTGGGTTTTTGTTTGTTGGTTTGTTTGTTTGTGTGAGGGCTGTCTGTTCTTTGGCTGAAAGGTGATTACAGGAGGTGAGTTTTTTCTTTGCTCTGGATGGAGAGAGAACAGTGGCCACTCACAAGTTTTTAAGGTGCCAGCCCCTATTCACCAAAGTAGGATGGTAATCTTTATGAACTGTGTTATGCCAAGACTGTGGTCCTAAGCCCCCAAGCATAGTGACTCAGTTCTGCAAGGTGTGTGGTTATGGCTATAATGTTTTCATTCTTTTTTGCCCACTGTAGGTTGTATTATAGTTATGGACATATTTATAGCACATACAGATATGTGTGCAGAAATACACACATACAGATGTACTCCTATATACCATCCCTTATCTGCTCCGCTTGCATATTTACCTATGTATCTACTCATAAATTAATCATTATTATTACTGCTGACATCTGCATATGTCCCAGTGTCTTCCATTACCTTGGTCATGTTATCCTGATCTCCCTTTATTATATAATACTTTCTCTTTCCCTAAGTTAATACACGTCTACTCAGTAGTGATATTTCCTCCCTCCCACTTCCATCCTCGTTAACCATCACAGAATATTTATTGTATATAAACCTTTACTTGACTTTTTATGTCAGTGGGTTCCGCACAATGTGACCTTTTGTGATTTACTTGTTTCACTCAGCATAATGCCCTCCAAGTGCAAACATGTTATGAGCTGTTATTCTACACGCTTACTTAACGTCATGCTATGCTCATTTTAAAAACAGAATTGTCTTTGTTGTTGAGGTGTTGAAACTCACTACTCTTGTGTCATGACCTCATAGCAACTACGTAGGTCAGAGTAAACTACTCCATAGGGTTTCCAAAGCAGTAAATCTTTGCAGGAGCAGACAAGTCTAGTCTTTCTTCCCTGGGATAATGCTGAATTCGAGTGGCCGACCCTGTTAGCAGCCCAGCGCTTAACCTCCTACACGCCCAGGATCCCTGATGTGCTGAACATTGGAGACTAGTTCCTCATCAACATGCCATGTCAAAATTCACTCTGCTGTTAAGATTCTCCTTTCACTCGTTCAGTGCAGTCTTTTAATGTGCATAAAGGCTCATTTTTAGGGGTCCTACCTAGTTCATCTGCTTCTGTTTATGCATTTTTGGTTATGCTTGTTATTTTACTTATTCAATATATTAGAGCCTCTAGTATTGCCACTATTTTTCATTCCTTGATATATGTTTTAAGTTTTATATGTAGGACTTTGATCTTTTTTGAGTTCGTTTTTGTATATAGTGTGAGGTTATTTCCTGTCTTTATCCCATTTATTGACTTTGACCCACTGTCAAAGATCAGTTGTTCATCAGTGGATAGATTGACATTTGTGTTCGCAATTTTGTCCCATTGGGCTACACATCTTCCATTACACCAGTAGCAGACTTGTTTGATTATTTTGGCTTTAAAGTAGGATAGAAGATCGGGTAGTATGATGCCTTCTCTCTGTTCTTTAGTAGTGCTTTATCCAGAACCTCTTTCCTTTCCTTAGAAAGTTGGTGATTCATTTTGTCACTTCATTAAATAATGTGCCTTTTATTTAGATGGGATTGCATTTTATCAGCACATCACTCTGGGAAGGAGGCCTGGTGGCATAGTGTTCTGCTAACTGCAAGGTCTGCCGTTCAGAATTGCTCCATCGGAGTAAGAAAGGGCCTCCCTCCTGTAGAGGGAGTTACAGTCTTGGAAACTCACAAGGACATTTCTACCCTGTCGCTATAAGATGGCATTTACTCAGTGGCAGCAAGTTTGGTTTGTTTGTTTTGTCTGGGTTCCATTCTCAAGGGGAATGCTTTCAGCCTCCATTGAGAATAATGTTGACTGTTATTTATTGTATAAATGACCTGTAATACAAAGGGGGTAACCCCTCCCCCTTTAAAAAAACAACACTGAAAAAAACCTCCACTGGACAGAGCTTTTGTAGTATGCATTTTTCCTGTGAGGTGAACATCAAGCAACTTGCTCTGAGTTAGTGCACCCAATGGCATCACCTGGGAAAGTTCTCTCTGGTCACAGTGAATTTTTTCATAAAAGCCATTCTGCTCAAACCTCATGTTTTGTGGTGGCCAGTTTAAGAATGCAGCTGTGAAATTTTGTTTCCTGCTCAGGAAAAATGCCACAGAAACTGTTGTGGTATTGAACACAGCTTACAAGGACAGCTTGCTGGATTCATCTTGTCTTTTATGTGATTTGTTATTATCTCTAGTGTCAGGTGTTAGCTTTATTATATGTGTTTGCTTGCTGCATCCTCTTTGTTGTTTTGTTTTTCTGTATCCGAGGAGGTGTCTATATCATGTGTGCTCTTGTGGTCATTAATCTGGCCAAACTCTCATCACATGTCTCTAAGTTGGTGGGGCTGCTGCTCTGTTTGTGATATGTCCACTGGTCTCGCCAATGCCTGAGGAAATATCTGGTGTTGCTGGTGAGATGATGTGTATACCTGGCTGGTCCCCTGGGAGTATATGGAAGGAATGTTGTCACTGAGTAAGGTTGGTGTGTGCATACTACTGGTTGCTGGCTGGTTGATGTGAGGGTATCTGGGTTGTCAGTCATGTGATGGGCGCTACAGAAACTCTCATGAACTGTCCCAGGTGAGCAACAATGGGCAAGGGTAGCTGGAACAGGCACAAGCCTTTGGTTTCAGGAAGGGCTGTGTAGAGGGCAAGGCTGGGGGATGTTACCAGTTCACATGTGCCCTTTTGGAAGGCATGCCTCTTTCTGCTAGCATATGATGTGGAAGAGGGTGTGCCCCTTGTCCTTAGGTCTCCAGCACTAGTGATTGAAAGAGTAGGTGGCACTACTAGTATGTCGGGCCCCCAGTTGGAGTGGCTGGCCATAGATGCAAGGTTCACCAGTCCTCAGACTCTTGTTGCTGGCAGCCAGATGGAGAAGTGGATGCTTCCTTTCACCAGGCCCCAGCTTGGGTGGCTGGGCAGAGAATTGGGTACAGCTAAATTTTGGACCCCAGGGGCTTACTGTTGGGTGATCAGAGGGGACATACCATTTCATTGGCACTGGGCACAACTGGCTAGGCAAAAAAGCAGGCAACTCTGTTCTGCTGGGACCCAGGCAGAGAGGCTGGCATTGCTGGTCCCTAGGTGTCCATGCAAGGGACTGAGTGAAGGGGTGAACTCTAGTCTCTCAACCCCCAGCTCTGGGGGCAGGGTTATGGTAGGTACCGGCAGGCTATAGTCATATATAGAGGAGGAAGAGTGGTACTGCAGGTCTGTAGACTTCTAACTCAGTGCGGAAGATGGGCATAGTGAATGTAGTGAGTTCACTTTATGTTTGCAAAATATAAGGGACACTTTTGCTGGCTTTGGACCTGAGTGCAGACACTCCTTGTCTGCGTGGTGATGGTGGGGGGGGGGGGGTATGATTTCAGTGGAAATGCTATTTGCTTTGTCTCAAACATGATTGGACTGCAGGTTCAGCTGACAGAGCTCTGGTGTCTGCACCTACTGTTTTTATGGTTTCCCCTTCTCTTCTTAGCACTTGGGCTGATTTTCAGCCTTGCCTTTGATGGTCAGGGTTCCAAAGCTGTCATCTATATCCAATTCACTTGTTTTATTGAGTCTTGGTTATATGATGGGCGTTATGTGGCCTCTGGGTATGCTGCTGTCTACGTTTTTGAAAAATGGACTTCAAAAATTTCCATTTTATTTCTTCATAGACTGTTTTGTTTTAGTGCTGAGAAGTGACAGTTGTGGATATGCTTGCTTTTCTTGGCCAGAGTGCTGAAAAAATAATATTCACCCAACGATGAAATTTTTTATGTATGTTTCATATATGATTTTTAAATGTTGGGATGATGGTATGAGTCTAAGGGGAAAGTCAAAGAAAAAATGATTTTGAAGCCAAGGCTTTTAGCATTTTTTCCCTAAATGATGTGTCTTAAAGAACTTGGTTTTTTGAAATTTAGATATCTTAAAATTCTATATCATGTGTCAATATAAAACTGATTTTAAACTTACTGCCTTCAGTAGCTTTGGGAATTACCAAACTCTGTTTCAAGAAATGGGTTCTGATATGTATTTTCGTGTGTGTGTGTGTGTGTGTGTGTGTGTGTAGTCTCTTCTAATTACGTTTTGTCATTTTAGGGGCTTAACAGTAATGTTTGAAATAATGAAAACATATGGCCACACTTATGAAAAGCATTGGTGGCAGGATTTATTTCGAATTGTTTTCCGAATCTTTGACAACATGAAGTTGCCAGAACAGCAGACAGAGGTAAAAGCAAACAAAAATTCTAATCCATCCTAGTTAATTTCTGTGTTATAAATCATACACATTGAACAGAAAAGAACTCCTAGTAAGTTTTTCATTAAAGGATGAGGATATAATGTCTTTTTAGAATAGAAGTGAATTCATAGATTTGCTTTCATTTTTTAATTTTTCATTGTTACACTTCTAGTCATTGTTAAACTTCTGGTTTCTTACCTTGTTTTAACTTGCTACAGCTATCCTAAAGCCCTTAATTTCCTGTTCTATTTCATAATGATGACTTATTTTTATTTGAGTAAAGACTACAAAATAAAATTCAAATTGTTTTTATTTCAACGTATTTACTACAGACCAGTTATAATGTGCCTTTCAGGAAGTGTGGTAGAAGCCTTCATATTTTCCCATTTTGTTTCACATAATAGTATTGATGCAGACTTCTACAATAAGTCTGTATTAATTTGAGAAAAGTAAAGAGTAAAAGGTCATAATGTGAATATTACAGTGATGTTCTTAGAATTAAGGCAAATGATACCAAAAACAGTTCAGTTTTATAATGTAATAGGTGGTTGTGGTTTGTTGGGAATAAAGTTAAATTTGAATGTAAGCCAGACTTAAATTTTAAGTATGAAAAAATATGTTTTTAATTCTACTTTTTATGAATGGTATGAATTTCATTTAATGGTTTTGTCTCCCAGAAAGCTGAATGGATGACAACTACTTGCAACCATGCACTGTATGCGATCTGTGATGTGTTCACCCAGTATTTAGAAGTGCTCAGTGATGTGCTTTTGGATGAGATCTTTGCACAACTATACTGGTGTGTCCAGCAAGGTAGGTCTGTATCAAATGTTTTGGAAAGTATTACATATGACCATGATAATAAATAAATGAATCGTTCTTTTCTTTTCTAGACAATGAGCAGTTAGCACGATCTGGTACAAACTGCTTAGAGAATGTTGTTATTCTGAATGGTGAAAAATTTACCCTAGAAATCTGGGATAAAACTTGTAACTGCACATTGGATATCTTCAAGACCACAATCCCACATGCGTAAGATGATTTTACACAGCTTTATATACGTATATTTTATTTAAGTTTGATAGCAATTAGTGAGTGATTATAATAGAAATCCTTTTCAATATTCCCCACCACAATTTGTATTCAGATTTATTACAAATTAATACCTATAAGCTATAGTATACACATGAACCAATTCTTTGTAAGCTAAAATCCCTTAATCTTCTAATACTCAGGTCATTATGAAGTGAATCTACTGACTTTTATAAGATTGTATTTATATAGATCAAACCACACAGTGGTCTTTAGTTGGGGGATGGGCAGAGGAGACAATGACAACAACAACCTAATATGTTTCAGTTACTATAAATTTAATAATCAAATTTATGTGCAAATAGATTTTACAGTTAATGTCAGTTCCCTTAAGGGATGAGTTTAGAATTGGATTACAGTGAATTACCAGCAGGACAGATGTGTAGTCAGTCTGATTAACTGACAGCACTTACAGTGTTATAACACAGACTTGAATTTCCTTCTCCGTTCCATCTTGAAGCTTCTATGGCCTGCAAATAATTTGACCTTAGGTCTGCAATGTCTATATCCACAGGTAGATTTCTCTTTAAAAGATTTTTGTCAAGCAGCCAGGCACTGGCAGAAATCTATATACCTGTTCTTCATTAATGAGCTGTCTCAACTGACATTTTGCACTTCAAACAGTAGTATAACTGTTGAACTATTGAACTATTTTGTGCATAACAACCTGATTCTGGTAGTAATGACACTGATGTGCTAGACGCTGGCTGTGATGCTTAAGATTATATGTCATCTGGACTACACGTGATTCCTGATGCCATATTCTATGTCATATAAGCCAGCTTCTCTGATTATTTACTCAGATACAGAATGAGTAAGCATAATGAGAGAGTACAATCCTGTTGTACACCTCGCCTGATTTTAAACCACACAGTATTCTCTGGTTGGTTGCCACAACTGTCTCTTGATCCGTGTACAAATGTGCACAATGACGTGTTTGGAACTCCCATTCTTCTCAAGGTCATCCATAATTTGTTAGGACCCATACAATGAAAAGCCTTGACATCGTCAGAGAACACAGACACCTCTCTGGTGTTCTCTGCTTTGAGCCAAGATCCATCTGACATCAGTAGTCATATATCCCTAGTTTTACATCCTCTTTGGATTCCATCCTGAACCTCTGGAAGCTCCCTGTCAAGGTACTGCTGCAGCCCTTTTGGACAAAATTTTACTTGCATGTGATATTAATGATAATGTTCTATAATTTATGCATTTTGTTGGGTACCTTCCTTTGGAAAAGCTACAAATATGGATCTCTTCTAGTCAGTTAGCTGTCTTCCAGCTTTCCTGACATAGACAAGTGAGTGCTGCAGGTGCTTCCTCAGCTTATTGAAACATTTCAGTTGATATTCCCCTAGAGCCTTGTTTTTGGCTAATGCTTTCAGTGTAGTTTGAACTTCTTCCTTCAGCACCATTGGTTCTTGCTCATATGCTGCTTCCTGAAATGGTGGGATGTTAACTAGTTCGTTTTGGTAGTGACTGTGTATTCTTTTACATCTCTTGATGCTTCTTGCATTATTCAATTTTTTTGCCCATAGAATCTTTCAGTCTTTCAGCTTGAGGCTTGAATTTTTTCTGAGTTCTTTCCATTTGAAACGTGCTGAGCATTCTCCTCCCCTTTGATTCTCGAGTCCCAGGTCTTTGCATATAATGTCATTGTAATATCTGGAGCTGCCCTTGGACATGCTGTATGTAGCACTTTTACTTCACTTTATAGATTGGTGGACTTGATCTGGTCTGGGCTAGGATGTTTTCTCAGTGTTCAATTGCTCTTGTATATAAATAATTCTCTCTTTTTTTTTAAACACTTTATTAGGGGCTCATACAACTGTTATCGCAATCCATACACACATTAATTGTGTAAAGCGCATTTGTACTTCATTCTCAAAACATTTTCTCTCCACTTAAACCCCCGACATTAGGTCCTCATTTTTCCCCTTCCTCCCCGCTCCCCCCTCCCTCATGAGCCCTTGATAGTTTATAAATTGGTATTTTGTCATATCTTGTCCTGTCCGACGTCTCCCTTCATCTCTTATAAACATATGTGTGTGCATGGATTTGTTTCTCTAGTCTAAACAGACTAACGCACTATCTTTTTAGTTACCTTTTGCTTTCTCATGAATGATGTCTTGATGTCCTCCTGCAGTTCATCCGGTCTTCTGTCATTAATGGTCATTGTGTCAAATCTGTTTTTAAGATGTTCTCTCAAGATTCATAGTTGATAGACTCAAGGTTGTATTTTGACTCTTGTAGACTTGTTTTCATTCTATTCAGCGTTATTCTGACTTAACCTATGAGCAATTGATGGTCAGCCCCTGGCCTGGTTTTAACTGCTGATGTTGCGCTTCGCCCTCGTTTCTTCTGTGTATTCCATCTGGAGAAGTCTGTGTGTACAGTCCTCTTTATTGCAAAAGCTATTTACTTTGAACAAGTAGTTGGTCTTGCAAAATTATTTGATGTGTTCTCCAGTTTTATTTCTATCATCGAGTCCATATTTTCCAACTACTGTTAATTCCTCTTTATTTACAATTTTTACATTCCAATCACCAATGATTATTAGTGCATCTTGATTGCATGTTTGATCATTTCTGACTGATGACTTTGTTAGAATTCTTTAATTTCTTCATTACTATGGTTTGTGGTTGATATATAAATTTAAATACTAGTTAAAATGATTGGATTTCCTTGACGGCAGATAGATATAACCCTAGCAAGACACTCATGGTACTATACCCCATGGATGATTTTGCACTGTCCGTTTTGACAGTATGACTCCATTCCTCTTTTTTATGTTGTTCCTGGCATAGTAAATCATGATTTTCTGATTCAAAATGGACAGTACCAGTCCATTTCAGCTCACATGCCTAGGATATTAGTCTTTATGCATTCCATCTCATTTTTTTAAATCAATTTTTAGGGGCTCATACAACTCTTATCACAATCCACACATACATCAATTGTGTAAAGCACATTTGTACATTCACTGCCCTCATCATTCTCAAAACATTTGCTCTCCACTTAAGCCCCTGGCATCAGCTCCTCAACCAGGAGCATTTTTCATGCTGTAAACAATTTCCTCAGTACAACTTTTCTGGCCTTTTTCTCACTAATGCTATTTTCAATTTTCTTAAAACATCTTCCAAATTTACCCCCATGATCACTTTGTGCCCTTCAAGGGGGGGGAGGGCAACAACCAACTATTTAGATTATACTTTTAGGGTTCCTTAAACCTGCCACATACCTTTCTGAGCTGATCTCTCTACCTGAATTTTTTAAAATTATTTTATTGGGGGCTTGTACAATTCTCATCACAATCCATACATCCATCCATTGTGTCAAGCACATATGCACATTTGTTGCCCTCCTCATTCTCAAAACATTTGCCTCCCACTCAAGCCCCTAAATCAGTTGCTCATTTTTACCCTCCTGCCCTACTCCCCCCTCCCTCATGAACCCTTCATAGTTCATAAATTATTGTAGTTTTGTCACAAGTTGCCCAGTCCGATGTTTCCCTTCACCCTCTTCCCTGCTGTCCATCCCCCAGGGAGGAGGCAATACTTAGATTCTTGTAAT